TGTTATGAGGATTCCCCTCTCATTTTCACACTGTTACACAATAGTATCATTGGCTACCGAACAGATTTTGGGTATCTGCTCAGTCTTAGCAAATGCCAAACATTCTCCCTCTGTGAAAAGCTTTTTCCTTACATACTAGTGAACAGGGCATTACAGGTCCTGGCAGTAATTGCTACCAAACAGAGTTAATTGGTAGATGAGGAAAAAAAAACCCCAATTCAACTGCAGACTAACATCAGTATAACCAAGTGCACTTCATACATATCTTTAACTGGGGAATCAAGACATGAAGGTCTCTTCAGATGGCTGCTAAAATCACTGCCAGCAGCTATCTCCACTGTTTTTGAAAAGCACATCTCAAACCGTATCTGGAATTCAGCGAGAAAATGGAGCCCACAAGATCATTCTTTGTGAAAATCAACCGAAAACTCGTACAACAGGCTACCCCTTTTCAGGAATGCAACTCACCTCTAATTGTCCTTTCCATGCAGCAGTTTCAATAAGCACACAGAAACTGGAGAAAGGCTAACATTCTGTGGCCATTTCAGTCATGTATGTGCAGTATCCCAGATAACACACTTTTTGTCTCTGATGAGGGCTAGTTTCAGAAGGCTAGGTCCTTGAGGAACAGCATCAGCCCATCCATGTCAGTGGAGCTGCATTTACAACAGCTGAAGAACTGGAAACTTCTTAGTCATGACGACTCAGTAGCTCAAAGGGAAGTGCTGCAGGATTTTATGAACAACAAAAATCCCATCAAGTCCTTTTGAAAGTCTTGTCCCTTCTGTTGTAGATCTGGAAAGGCAGAGAATTGCACTACTAGAAGACAGTACTAGAAGACAGTCAAAATTAACCAAGTTTAGCAATCTTGGAATCAAAAGCAAAGGTGACCTTGTGACTTGAGTACAACTGTCTATAGGTGACTATCATCTGAAGCCAAAACTTAGATATAAAAGCCCAATTCTTTATAGCTTTACTTGGGAGGATAACATTTATTAGCTGTAGTAGACTCAATTTTCCACATGGTGTAGCCCTTTGAGAAGAGGCTGAGACACATATGAAGTTATGGATTGAAAAATATTCCTCTTCATTTTTATCAATTTATCCATTCAGCACCTTGGTAACATTTCTTTTCTGGTGGATCGTTGTTCACAAGAGTCAAATGCCTACACCCTTTAGCAGAATCTGTTTTTTCTAGGTCAGAATTTAGTTTTTATACCAGAGATGAGTGAGTTGGCTATACAAGACTTAAGTGTTCAGCAAAAGGATAAACACGGGAGAATAAACACCTGGAAGAATGTAAAAGGGGGATGGAATGGGGCGGGGACCATCTTAATAAACAAAGCAAAAGGTTTTTTTACCTCCCACTTCACAAATATGATTTGAGACCAGAAGGAACAATTATGGGAAGTTTCAACTTCTGGTTATTAACACTGGTATTAAAATACCAGTGCAGCATGCTTTACCTAAACAGTGTACCCAGTCCCTCCAACTGCTTATAACCACTTACAGAACAATCCACATTTTTGGTATTTAGTTTTCTCAATTTTTGTTCAACTGCCTTTATCTGCTGAGCTGTGTGGGTAGTAGGTCACATCATCTACATTGGCACGACATTTTTGGAGTAGCATAATGCTCAGCTTTTAGCACCTTTGCAGGAAAGAAATTTTCAGTAGTTCCTTGTGGTATATATAACTTTTTGAATTTAATGATTATACTCACTGTTTCATGCTGAAATGTCTCCTTAATAAGATTTAATGATTTTTTTCATCTCTATTCCTAAATTAACATCTGTATTTTCATCAGATTATCCCCTTTTTACTGAGGTAAGAAAACAAATTATAAACACACAAGCATTCCACGAGTGATTTTTGGAATCAAGCACAAATAAAGTAGCAGCTATCAACTGCAGCATTGAAAACTTGGAAACTGAGAAGGCTAAAATACAAGCTTTTAAAAATATTATATATCCATAGGCTATCTAATAGTAATCATGTTTGACTATGCAATATCACTAGTTAGGAATTGTTTCAGATATTCTTTGAAGATGTGAAAGGAATTCACTTTGCACAGGTAAAGCTAAACAAACAAAAAACTAAACAAAAATATCAGATAATTCTTTATGGAATAAAAGTAGGATTATTCGGAAATAACTCTTCACTTTAAAATGTATAGCAGCTATATTATATTCCAGAATAACTTTACCTAAAAATCAGCCTGTAGACCTTTTATCACATACACTTTCGAGATAAAATACTAAAAAAAAACAACCATATTTTTTTTAAGTATTACACTAATATTCATTCAGTCTTTTAAACATTTTAAACAAAGGCTAGCACTGGAAAAAAAAATCTAGTTACTAGGATGCATAATTTGAAGTTGTATGAAAAACAGAAATGTACTTACAGATAACGAATCATTGAGAGCCACGCTATGCAGGAAAGATGGCCCCTCTACCCCACTGTCCCCCTCCCAGCCCCAAAGACAACATCTAGAACAGACTTTTGGTTTTGCTTTTTTAATAAGTCCATAAAACCCAAGTATTTATAAAAAGCACATGCAACTTTATTTACATGAACAGATCAGCGAGAAGCTGCAAACTTTTGTTAGTACAGGAACTAGGTCTTGAAGATTGGAAGTAGTAAATACAACAGGGCAATAGAACAGACAGCTAATGTGACAACAGCAGCTTTGCCGACAGCTGAATTCCTGGTTTGTTCCTGGGGCATAGGGATGTCTAGGGGCATGACACCCAAACCCAACTAAAATTCCCTATAGCTTTGGAGATAACATCAAAATTGGGTTTGTTTTTACTCTTCTAGTGATCAATTTTAAGTAATATCAACACATCTGCAATTTTTGAAGTGCTTTGTAATTGCAGCCTAGATTCTTGGTGTCATCTTTCTCCTGAAAGAGGGAATGTAAGTGAATATAAATGGAATCAGAAAAAGAGGTGTCATGAAAAGGTGCAACAGTCCCACCTTCAAATGCCACAAGGAAAAGAAACAGATTCTTGGACTGTCTTGCCTCTCCAACTCCAGTCTGTGAAAAGCCAACTGACCAGTTATTGAAACAGTTGAGGCACTACTGCTTGCAAACCTCTACAGATCCTTTAGCACTGAACAAAAACAAGAGGAAAAGCCACCGGAAATATCTTAAAGACTTTCTTTACAAGACCAAAGTAACAGTTTGTATTCTTACTTCACCATTCATCTTTCAATATTTGTACTTTCACTTGAAGTAAACAAGATACTTTCACACTGAACAAAAAAATTAAAAGTAGCTCAGCTTTCCCTTTTCTCAATAGGTTAGGGATCGGACAGACATTAGGCATATTTAACTGTTCCTAGTTTAATTTAATGTTGATGCAAGGATGTGCATGAATGTGGTTTTCTTCTCAAAAATCTACCCATTTTTTCCCCCTTAAGATTTCCTTACATAGCACACTAGCACCTTGAAAACAGACCCAATGTAGTACTTGGGTTTGCTACAAATAATCCAATCCTTCCTTCCTTAGAAGAAAATGGATATTAGAACTTACCTGACTGTTAGGAAGACTGACATTTTCCCTGTCTAGAGAACAGGTATGACCTGTAGCTTTTGTATATGCTCCAATTATGTCTCTGGCCAAAAGTGATGTTTAGTAAAATACAGTGAAACCATCCCGCCTCTGAACAACTAACCCCTCAGTCTCTGTCAAGGTATAAAATTTTAAGTGCTAACAGGGAACTAGAAGTTTTTGACATCAATTACAGTGAGACCCATGAACATTTCACAGGATTTCAGTTATCAGTCCACAACCTGCGACAAACATAACAATTACTGTCACCTCAGTACTAAGAAATATTATACAAAGCAATTGCCAGCGGTACTGTAACTGAACTGATGATTATGGTGTAAATGGGTTTTCCCTAATATAGTAAGTTTTCCACACTTACCAGCTGTTGGTCATCTCAATATTCTGCCAGGCTTTCCATTTTTTGTGATTAAACTTCCATGGCAGTAGAATTACTTCCCAAGTTAATTAGTGATGTAAATTATACTGCGTATGCTAGATACTGGCAACAATGAAAGCACTAACATTAAAACAAAATTCTCACTACTGATGAAAGTGTCATAAAATGATTTTGATGCACTTGTCAGTACAAGTGAATCTCTCACACTGACCACTATCATCTCTTGTTTTTTTGTGTGTTCTGGTTTCAGCTGGGCTAGTGTTAATTTTTCTTCCTAGTAGCTGGAATAGTGCTGCGTTTTGGATTTAGTATGAGAATAATGTTGATAGCATACTGATGCTTTAGTTGTTGCTACGTAGTGCTTACACTAGTCAAGGACTTTTTGGCTTTTCATGCCTTGCCAGTGAGTAGCTGGGAGGGGGCACAGCTGATCCAAACTGGCCAAAGGGATATTCCATACCATATGATGTCATGCTCAATATATAAACTGCAGGGACTTGGCCAGGGGCACTGTGGCATCAGTCAGCGGGTGGTGAGCAATTGTATTGTGCATAACTTGTTTTGTATATTATCATTGTTACTATTATTTTTCTCTTCCCTTGCTGTCCTGTTAAACTGTCTGTACATCAACCCACGAGTTTTACCTTTTTCCCCCCGGCCCCGATTCTCCTCCCCATCCCGTGGCAGCGGGGGGCAGCGGGAAGGAGTGAGCAAGTGGCTGCGTGGTGCTTAGCTGCTAGCTGGGGTTAAACCATGACATGATGGTACACAGTGTGCCCCATGACCATTCAAGTAACATACCGAAAATCGAGGAAGAAGTTCTTGGAATTTCACAGAAATCAAATAAGTCTTACAACCCATGGCAACATCCATGGCTCTTACTGCAATAAAAAGTCAGTGTGTATTCCTCATTCCATTTATATTAAGATTTCTTTCAAAGAAAAGGTGCTGATATTTTGTTTTGTTTCATCTATGAGGTAGACGGCACTTTCATATAAATAGTGTAAATCAGAAATTAAGTTAGCTCTGAGCCTGCAACAAGCGCTGCACCACTGACTTCTCAAGTCAATTATTAAATCATGAATACAAAATAATTCCTAATTTTAAAAGACAAACAGTAAGTCTTTGAAAGGAGAGTGGTGGCTGAGTGCACAGACAGGTGCCTTCCCTTGACAAAGGTTAGCGGAATTCTGGCTTTAGCCTCCAGACACCTTCACCATTTGGGCTCCTATGGAAGGTGCAGAGATTACGGAGAAGTTCTCTAAATACACAGGACTGTGCCACTGGCAGTTTGGACTCAAATTCGTGCAGTATTTCCTGAGTGCTAGCCTCGCCATCCATGCGGGCCTGGAACGCTATGAAGTTACGCACGTCCACGAGCAGTTCATCGTATTCTGTTGAAGCCAAGCCTGGAGCGAGGGCTTGCTGAGGATTCTCATCTCCCTCATTTCCTGTCCGTTGTGGTAAAATAAAGTGGTTTCTTGCCCTCATTTTAGCTAATAAAGATGAGGAATCTAGTGCACTGGATGACGATTCTCCAGATTTTCCATCAAAGTGCCCATTGGAACTACACTTCTTTACATTTTCTTTCTTTATTGTATCTGCATCCTGCAAATAAACATACAGACTATGGAGAAAGTTGGATTTTGAGATCCACAGAAACTGTTAAACAAAATCTGCCTGCTGTTTAGACTTAAACAACAAACCTGAATACTCAGAAGCTGGTCATCTGAAATACACAGTAAGGAGGCAGTATGTTCTGGTCTCAAAAGGAAAAGCATGGCTGGTCTTGAGACAGATAACCAGACCTTGTTGCAATTTGTGACTGCTGTATCTAATTAGACTTCATCAAGATGCCATATCGAAACACAAAATCAAATTCATGGGTGACTAAAAATTCTAGAATTCTACATAATCATACAACAAATGGGTATGAGACATCTACAGTATAAATCAGATTTGTTGCATAAATCAGAACATTTTATATATATCAGCTATTAAGTGAGAAATATTAGATTGTGTCTCTTACCTTGCACTTCTTTGCAGGTGATGCACAAGCAGAATGTGAAGAGAGCAGCATGGGGTTTCTTTTTTGACCAAAGCGACTCCTAAAAACCCACAAAAGAATTAACTCCATAAGACATCCTCAAAATAATTAGGACAGTTTTGCCAAAGATGGGGACTGGGTTTGTGTTTTAGGGTTCTCAAGAGCCCTTCACCAAACTCTCTCCTCTCTGCGCAACAATAATGCTTTCTTTGTACTTCAGATTGGACTTCCTAGGCTTGTAACATGCTTTCATGTCTTTATTAAATATAAAGCATGAAACTCCACTTTGATACATGTTACTGCAAACACCAAGTGCAAAACAAGATAAATCCATAGCATCCTAAAGAACTCTTCTATTTTTGGTAAAAGCAGTGCGAGAACTTACTTTATTCCAGATGGTGCACCTGAAAGACCACTCACACCTGTCCAGGTTGGCACACCAGAAGCAGCTCCTAAACATCGCTGTCTAGAGACTTTTAAGGCTCTTAAAGCATCCTGGGCTACTCTGTTTGCTTCTGCTTCCACCAGCACATGATCTGCACAGGAAGCTTCTATAATGGCATCATGTTTCATAACACTGTGTACCCCTAAAAACCAGAAGATACAAGAAAAGGTTAAGGAGGACATCTGTTAAATTTACATGTTTATCTATAAAATTACATATTCACCATTTAAGTGAATCACACAATCACATTTTTCCTTTTTCAGGTTGATTATATTCAGCATTTCAGTATAGCCATTTCTAATAAGAGACTTTTTTTTCCCCCCGCCCCCCATCAGATAAGCAATCAATTTGACAGCAAACCACTTCTGGTGTGCTGATGAAGTCATTATTCACAAAAGACTTGGCAATTATGTGGGTAAATCGATCATTTCTATTGTTGTGGACAGGGCAGACAGAAGCGAAACTCTTGTGTAAATGAAGGTTGGTTACATCCTTATTTCCAGAAGAAATACTGCATTACTTCTGTATCCAGGCCTGCAGATCTCTCTGAAAAGTCTGTGTCAAGGTAATTAGCACATTCATAACCACAGCATTTCAATGATGAATGTTTTCACGTTTCACTACAGTAAGAGAATAGATAAAATAACGTTTTGTATTGTAGCTGCAACCATCAGAGTAACAGAACTGCTCCTTCCCTCACTTGCATAAGTTTTAGTCTGACACTGTTGAGCAGCTAAATGACAAGTTACCTGACTTTTTGAAAAGTTTCTCCAAGACGTAATCATCATTTTTCTTTGAGTCTTCCTCCTTCTCTTCACTGTTCTCCCTTCTGTATCGCTTTTGTTTCACTAGATGAGGAATGCGCTCTCCTTCAAATCTAGCATCTTTGTGATGTTTCTTCTTAGACTTATCTTTGCGGCTCTCATGTGACAGCATATCCACCCTGTGCTTTGTTTTTGAGGTGCATTTATAATGATTATTATCTAATTGCCCATCTTCAGTTTTAGTAACCCGCTTTTCCCAAGAGCCAGCTGCACCACATGTCAGGCTAAAATTGTCCTTGATATTTGCATTAGCCACCATGGTGTTCAGACATTTGGCATTCTCTGAAGACCCTGCATCACCTGGCAATGACTGGGACATAGGTTTGTCAGCTCTTTCCAAGCTTTCCTCCTTGCTTTTATTCAATGAATTCATATTAGTAGCAGCTTGTGCATTACTTTTTGCATAGCTATTTTGGTCAAAGGCTTCCAAATTTCCTTTAGTTTCCTCACTTGTCTCTATTGCTTTAGAAGAAGAATTTGTCATGTGGGTGGTTGAGCAGGAATTGCATGACTTGCTGTACTTCGGTGAGCTGCCTTCTGTAAGATGGAGACCACCTTTACAAGTGTCATTATCAGGTGGCTTTTCAAGTTTCTGTTTCAATTGGTGTTTTGGGACTTGAACATCTGAGCCAGTACCTAAGGGATGAATGAAGTTAGTATCTATTTGTCAAACACTTTAAACATTTTTTTCTTTTAAACAAATAGAAAAAGAAGTGTGTACCTGCAAAAATTGCACTTGTTTCAGTCCCCTGAGACACATCTGGGCTGCTCAGAGTAAAAAGCTCATAAAGGTCATTGGATTTGAAAAAGCGCCTCTGCTTAGGGTCTTTCAGCACTCTGTTTGTTAAAAACTGTTTGAAGATTTGTCTAAAAAAGAAAAAAAGTACTTTGTGCATGAAACAATGTCTAGCTATGTTTAAGTACTGAATACAGTACTTAAACAGAAAACTATGTAAGCACAAATGTTACCCTGCAGAACAATTAAGCAGTGGGAAGATGATGCTAGTTTCCAAAAGACAATCTTGAGTTAGTAACTTTCAAACAACCAGCTAAATTGTTAAACATGGGGATTTATTGTTTTGCAACAACCCCATAACACAACAGGTAACCACCATTCTGAAGTGTCCTATGAGGCATCTCTTAACTAAGCAATAAATAACTTCACAGCTAGAATTCTTTTTTGTCCATTAAAATTGAAAAGCTCACATGTATTACAATAAAACTATCAGAATACTCCTGAAAGAAAAACACGAGCTTGTTAAAATGACAACATTTTAATGGTTCAATTGGTTGGAGGAATCAAAAGCAGCAGAGTAGCCCAGTCTGATGGTGACTGGATGACAACCACTGAAAAGGGAAATCAGGCTTGTGGTTGAGAAAGGATAAAAGAGCCCATCTGCAGAGGACTGAAAAGAAAAGTCTGGGGGAGAACTAAGCTGCAAAAAGTCTTCTAGTATTGACAAATCTAATTCTATGCCATGTTTGTATGACATAGCTTTTGATTGTAAGTTCTAGGCACTATTTTCCTGTACAAAAAAATACATCCCTAAATAAAGCTGGAAATCAGTTCTCAAGAAGTGTTTTTATCATGGTTTTGGCTCTGCTGGCATTAAGCAGGGAAACTATTTTTAAATCTAATTGGCAAAACAAAGTTTAAACATAGGTGCCAGCTACTGTAGTGTACCCATCAGAAGACTTCAAAGTTTTTAAGAAGTAACTGAGCTTCATAGCTTCCTGCAAAGATGATCACATATTTGCACAGGGGAAAACATGGGCAAAGAGAAAAAACAACTTGCTTAAAGTTCAAAGTCCATTGCACTGTTCTGGAAATAAATGAATTTCTGATGGCTGTCCTGACCCTTAGAGCCCACTTCCTTGATGTGGTCAGTGTTGTTCAAACAGAAGTATGCCAGAGGGACGCAAGCCAACCAACAGCGGATGCTTTGTGTCCATGTGGTAAAACAGATTAAAAAAGGCACTCAATAAGTGTGGGCATTTCATTATTTACAGCTTTTCATTCATCTCCATTTTCAAAGGGGATATTCCAGTTCTATAGAGTAATGCCTAGTCAGAGGATTCCCAGGTACATTCATTTGGAACTCATGTGAGTGAAGATAACTACTGAGAAAGCTGAATGCGAAAGCAAAACAAAAAGACTTCATTGATTTCAAAACGCAAGCACTTTAAGGCTTTAGCTACATTTTGGAATAAATAATGTGAATATAACCGGTGGTTCTTGGGATTTAATTCTTTCACTCTGGAATGATTTGGGAATAAAATCAAATTGGGTTTGCAGAATAAATAGATGTTTGTACCACATACATCTTTATATATACTAAGTACAATATAAAAAACTTGTTGATTTCAGTTTGCATTTCAGACTTGTTGAGTCTCATGTTCTGAGTAAGGGGCTAATTTTTTCTTGTCTATGCCTCATACTTCCTCATTTAAGGTGAATTTTGGATGTGCTGGACACAGCTGCTGGAACAGATTGATGAGGTATATTTAGCATGTGGGTCCTGGAGCTAGAGAGGCAGCAGCAGCACAACCCTGCAACTAGGAGTATAATATTAGAAGGTGGCCCATTTCTCAGCAGAAATTTTTAGAAGTTTTCCATGACCAAGGTTGGGGGTTACAAGCCATGCGTGGACATGCACAGTTATGTCACTGTTATACCACCTCAGATGTGCTACAAACATTTTCTTGAGCATACGGCTGTGTCCAAGGAATCTTTCTGACTGACCTGTGGTATATCTTCTCTTCAATAGTACCTGCAGTGAGAAGCCTATACACAGTCACCTGTTTCTTTTGGCCTATTCTCCAAGCACGTTCCCGAGCCTGGAACACAAAAGGTTTGGTTGTCAGACATAGACTCTTAGACACATGTTTGACAGGGAGCTATCGGTACCACCGTTTGAAACCTAATTGGGATATTTAACAAATAGTTCAAGTAGTTACATAGCTGTGGTATTTCTACAGCATTAGGACAACTAACAGCAGGAGAGGAAAATAATTTAGAAAGCCTACATGTCTAAAAAGAAAAGTCTCCAATTGTACCAACAAACCTATGCAAAAAACCTCAAAAAATAATTACGTTAAAATTAGAACTCCTATCTAGGATATGTACTTTATATAACTTATTCCAAAAGGGCTCTATTTCACAACAGAGCTTTAATATACACATCTTTAATATACACATTTAATATACACTTGGAACTTTTCTTCTTTTTCTTAATGGAAAGTTTTCCTACAAACCTCTTGAACCTACCGCTAAAACAGACCACTCAGGGTCAGACTACACATCTCAGAGCTATGTAGGATTTCCATCAAAAGTAGTTTTTTCCTCCCAAACATTTAAGCCCCATATACTATTAAGGGATCTGATAACCCAGAGTCTCATCATACCGTCAGATAAAGAACAACTTCTTTAAGGTATTGGCTTAACAGCAGCTTCTAAGGGCATAGCTACATATGGTTATTTAGTGACAAAGCCAATTGAAGCCACGCTCATTCTCCTTTTCTTACCCTGCATTGCAGCCATGAACAGTCATGCCTGTTCAAGAGCTTGCACTCTCCCTTCAGACACATCTAGTTTGTTTGCTTATTTATTTAAAAACACCGGGCCATTTCAACTGTTTGTTTGGCTACACTCTAAATACACCATATGAATTGACAATATTGAAGAGTGGTAAGGTATAACAGCATAAAGGGGATGTGGTGGGAACCACTTAAATCAGCTCTGCCACAAAAGTAATCATAATGTGGAACTGCACCCTAAGCAACCATTGCTGGGAACAGGAACTTAGGGAGGAGCATCATAGTGCTTTAACATTATTTGAGGAGATAAATGTCATTCCATCTTCAGTTTTATTTCAGATTAGCTGGTAAATGGAATGTAATGAACCAAACTCACCTGTGTGTCTGTACTGGGATTCCAGTCAGGATCATAAATAATAACCCGGTCAGCACCAGTCAAGTTAACTCCAATGCCACCAACACGAGTTGTTAGAAGAAAAATAAATATGGATTTGTCCTATAACACAAGAGAGAATTTACTAAAGCAAGAAGAATTACTGAAGATATTTTTATTTCCTGGATTGTTATATTATCAGCATTATTTGCAAAGATGCAAAGGGAGCCAAGAGAAGGAATAAATTTCCTTGTTTGCCTAATATCTCTTTTGACAAATACAAGTAGTTAGTTCTAAATTTCTTTTACTG